CTTTAATTACAAATTATATTTTTCTTATCTCCCTAAATGTATATTTTTAGTCCTTGCTTTCATATATAGAATTACATACTAATGTTATATTTTTAGTCATTTGGTCTTTAACTGGTTACCTTGTCGTCATACATATCTGAAATAGTATATAAATTTATTTTTAATTTTATTTTGTATGATCTGGGTTAAGAAAATTTGTAAGATGTTACTAGTCACAGTTGACTAGTTAATAATCTGTTATTAATCAAATCAATAAAATAATTATAAAATTTTACTCTTTTGAGTGTTTTTTAAATCAGTTTACATATAATTGAGACTAGCACTAATTCTTTTTATTTTTCTAAATGTTAATATTTTAAAGTTATCTTAATATTTACCTTGTTTACATAAATAAGTCTATAGGAATGGGAACCGTTTTATTACAACAGAGTCACTTAATTCTTTAAACTGCTTTCAAGTGGTATACCAAAAATCAGAGTGATCTCTGATTAAAAATTATTTTTTTGCTCTATCCATGACAACTTTGATTAGGAACCCCCTTCATTAATGTTGAAAGGAAAGAATTAGAAACCAGAGACTGGCAAAAAAGAATGTGTTTCCTGATCCCTGGAGCCATTCATTTTCTTGGTTTTTTAAAAGAGTACTGAAAAAGCTTTGCCAAGATTTATAAAATGATTTTATTATACCCTTACTCTGTCACATAGGGGTATTTTGTTGACCTAATGTCTTTAAGGATTGAGGGAAAGTTGTTAATTTCATTTTGCTAAGTTATCTTAATATTACAATTTAATTACTATTAAACATTTAAATGTAGTATTATCAGAACACTGGAGTGCAGACTCAGTGCTTTGTTTCCAGAAGATCTGTTCCATGCAACACATCAGAGAAGCCTCTCTGCCTTGTTAGCAGTCAACCTAGTCATACCTGGTTTTTATCAGAAAAACAGACTTAATTTTTTTAATTCAAATAAAGTTTGCTATGTGTTTAATGACTAATATAAAGATCACATATAAATCATGCTTTTGTGGGATATATTTAGCAATAATCTGTTTTTATAATAGATTATAAAACAGGAAAATTATCATACTCTTCTCAGTTAAATTTCTAATATGATATATAGCTAATATTATAAATTCATATGAATAAAGAATATATATTCTTGTTTGAGGCTGTAGCTCAGTGGTAGAGTGCTTGCCTGGCACCTGTGAGGCACTGAGTTGATCTATAACACCACATAAAAATAAATAAACAAATAAATAAAATAAATGTAAAAAAAAAAAGGAATATATATCCCTTCAGTGAGAGTGAGGGAAGGGAACTTAGGTTCAGATTTTGATAATAACTAGCCTATACAAAACTCATAATAATTCCATTACTTTTTGTAACATCAAAATTATGTTTTCCTATTTTTTATCTTTTTTTAAAATGAAAGAAATATCCATATTGCTAAGTGTTAATCAGTCCAGCAAGTAGTATAGCTAGGAAAATGTTAAGTATTAAATAATGAATTAGCTACAGCTAGAAAAAAATAAAGTTTAAATTATTCTACTGAATCATCCTCAGAGTCTATGTTATTACATAAAGTTTGATCTGTTATCTTGAAAAATACAAGCAGTCTAAAAAAATTTTTCACGTTTTGTTTGGGTTTTGGAGATCCACCCCAGGGCCTCATGCAAGCTAAGCATGAGCTTTGCCTCAGAATTACACCCCCACCCCTGAGTTCATTTTTTTTTTGTTTTTGGGGGGATACCAGGGATTGAATTCAAGGGTACTTGATCACTGAGCCACATCCCAACCCTATTTTTGTATTTTATTTAGAAACAGGGTCTCACTGAGTTGCTTAGTGCCTCACTTTTACTGAGGCTGGCTTTGAACTTATGATCCTCCTGCCTCAGCCCTCTGAGCCACTAGGATTACAAGCATGCACCACCGCGCCTGGCTAGTTACTATATATATTTTTTTTTAAATCAGAGGCACTAACCATAGTGTTACTATTATTTGAAGGTAGTGTTCTTTTTAACTAATGACACACCCCAGGACAAGAATAAGAACAGCTAAAGGTAAATGCTTATATTTAAATATATGAGAGGGGAATTATTTTTCATATATAGCCTTTCTTTCCTCCATCTCATGAAATTCTTTCCTAAGAGTTTGGTAGTTTTTGACAATAGTCAGGGTATGGAAAAGGTTAGATTTTTTTGAAGTGCAAAATATCACAACTCCCACTATCCCCTTTTCCTATATATCTAAATTCTCAACACTGCATCCTGGGTCAAAATTAATATTGATATGTTTTACCCTTCACAGAAATATGTCTAAAACAAGATGCCCTGCAATGGGTTCATAATTAGTCCATGTAGGAGCCTTCTCTAAAACCAGTATTTCAGGATTTCTCTTTATGTGGTGACCCTGAAGTTTTTATGCCACTGGGCAGAGCACATGAGAAAGAGGTGAGGTAGGAGAAGGGTGTGCCTTTCTTTGCAAAGTGGAGAGAGGTTGCCATACACACAGGCCAATTCCCAAGCATGTACTTGATCAGAGACAGCCCATATGTCAGTTCAGGAACTTAAAAAATAGAGGTCTTGGGGCTAGGGTTGTGGCTTAGCAGTAGAGCACTCGCCTAGCATGTGCAGGGCCCAGGGTTCGATCCTCAGCACCACATAAAAATAAATAAAATAAAGATATTGTGTCCAACTACAACTGAAAAAAAATAAATATTAAAAAAAAAAAAAAACAGAGGTCTTTAACAGTGGGCATATATGGGGAGAGGAGGATGTTCTTCCCAACCTGGGTTCCCTGCTATCTTCACATTGTTAACTCCATGCTTTCTCCAATAAAACAAGCCAATCAGGTGTGGCTTAAAAAAAAAAAAAAATAGAGGGGCTAGGGATGTGGCTCAAGCAGTAGCGTGCTCGCCTGGCATGCACGGGGCGCTGGGTTCGATCCTCAGTACCACATAAAAATAAAGATGTGTCCACCGAAAACTAAAAAATAAATATTAAAAATAATTCTCTCTCTCTCTCTTAAAAAAAAAAAAAAGAATGTCATTTATACCTTCTTTTAAAAAAAAAAAAATAGAGAGACCTTTAACATTGCCCACACAAGTACCTCTTGGAAAATCTTGAGTGTGAACTGGAGATTTGAAATGAAACCAGAGTTGCTTACACCAAGTGAAGTTTTAAGTAGGAAAAAACATCTTGAAATCTAGAGGGTGTCCTTGGAATTCTCCAGGTTAACATATTTTGTTATTATATGTTATATAATATATGTTAACATATTATACACAGATACATGGCTATAGCCAGCATATCTTCATAGCAAATAGGATGTTACTTTGGTGGAAAATAAGCAAAGTTTTCTAAATTTTAATTAAGTTTTTCAATATGGTGCAGTTAGATAATTAAATTTTACCCAGTAAAGCTGGGTTTTGGGGTTTTTTTCCCCCTTTAGATAAGGGAAATTTGTTGAAGTAAAACAAATTTTCCTAATGTATAAACTAAATATAAACAGTTTCACTTATTTTAACAAGAAATAAGTTTGGGTTTGTTACCTGTATTATAGGATATTCACCTTGCAAAACGCTTTTATGACATGGCAGCCGAAGCCAGCCCTGATGCCCAAGTACCAGTCTTCTTAGCACTCTGCAAATTGGGCGTTGTCTATTTCTTGCAGTACATACGGGAAACAAATGTAAGTGGTTCGTGTCTCTTTTAATTAAAATATAAATGATATCACTTTCTTGGTCCTGGAGATTTGTTAAAAAGTTGGGAGGCATAGGGAGGAGTATTCTATGTTGGATCTCATTTCCAGCTCTGCCTAGGTAAAAGTACCACAGGACCTCATCAGATGAGGATCAGATGTACACATGAGGCAGTAACAGTTTTCATGTAGCATTTCACAGGGGTTCCTAATGTTAAAACATTTTTCTTTGATATAGGTGTTTTCCAGTTTAGGGAAAAGAGACTTAATGGCAGTTTGAAACAGTAATTAAACTAAATTCAGTAAACATTAAATGAGATGACTTCCTGGGAAGGACTTGAACCATTTCCTTTAAAAAAATAAAGTGCCGGGTGGAGAAGAACCTAAGAATCTGTACAACCTCTTGTATCTCAGATTCTTCCAAAAGTGAAACATATGTTAGAAATGCCACCAAAATTTTTTCTCCCTAAAAATAGCTTGAATTATTTAAACAGGCTAGCAGTAGAACCTAAACAGAAGATGGGTTGCCTATTCTCTTCAAAGCTACCTACTTTAATTAATGATATTTGCATGTAGGTGCTTTTGGGTTCTGTCAGTTTTAAATTTTGCTCATAGTACCAATAGTTCCTAATAGCAAATTACAGAATTTAACTCTGAAACCCAAGATGTTGAGACTCCTTGTTTAAAACAAAGGCCATTTAACTTTAGTTCATTGAGTACCCTAAAAGAATGATGTTTCAACCTTCTGTTAATGTCTTTCAAAATAGTTTGATATAGCATTTTGGCCTCAGATTTAAGATCAGCTCTCTCCCCCCTCCCCCCCCCCCCCCCCCCTACATAGATAGAAATGCAGTCCATGCTGCTCTAGCAGCAATAAAGAGAAATGGATTTCTCCCTTTTGCCACGCTGCTGAGGTCCTCCACACATAGGGCTCCAGAGCACTTGACATGTTAGATTCTATTCTCCAGGTCATTTAAATATGTGTAATATCAGTTGCTATAATTGCTTTGATGAACCAGAGTATGTCATATACTCTGCCAATTGAAATGATCTTTTTCCTTTAGTTGAAAAGCCCACTAATTCTCTCAGGACTAATTCAGACTCTTGTCTCCCACAGTTCTCATCCCCAAGTATGGTCTAGGATTTAATATTGCAGTATGCCCTAATCAGTATATTATATGTGCTGCTTTTAATATAGAAATATAAAGACAAGAAAATATCTCATAATGCTACCACCCAGATATCCCAACTTAAAAAAAAAAAAAAAACAAGAGTAATCAGTGTTAAGGGACAAAGTCAAATAGGACAGAAAAGCACACAATCTTTATTTCAGGCCCCTCTTCAGTTGTTTCTTTTAATTTTTTTCCAGAAAAATTTAGCACCTATACCTACAAATATGCATTATGGAGATCTTATAAATGTAATATTGTTAAAATAAAGAATAGATCCCATATTTAGTAGTTTGGGGGTTAGTAGTAGTCAGAAAATATCAGGAATAACTTCTCAAACATGACAACTAAATCTCATAGACTAAGAACAAAACTGTTAGTTCAAATTCATGGGTTAATATAGTATGAATTTTAGTTAAAGCCTAACCAGAAAGCATTATCCATTCAGCTATTAGGTATTGAATTCTTGTAGTCTTCAGATACATGAAAGGTAGTGGAAACAACTCAGCTGTCACTGGAACGACTCTTCAGCCAGAGTGCCAGCATCACAGAGAGGTTACAGACAACCAAGATGCTCATGTTTCCCCCTGTTCCTTTATTGTGCCACTGTTTCTTTCAACGTTTCCTGTGGAAGATAGTTGGAAATTGGTACATTAAATTACCAATAGAAAAAAAATCCTCTTAGACATTGTACATAGCCAACTCTTATAATATCCTAATTCCTGAGACATATTATTGTGAGCATCCATTGAAGGCTTTAAAACCTTTCTTTTTAAACACATTGAAAAAGCAGTTAATTTAATTCAGTATATATCTCTAATTTGTGGTGTAATTTTCATAGTTCCTTGCCTGACGTTGGAGTGATAATGATTTTTTCATTATTTTCATTAAGATTCGTGACATGTTCACCCAACTCGATATGGACCAGCTCTTGGGACCCGAGTGGGATCTTTACCTCATGACCATCATTGCATTGCTATTGGGAACAGTTATAGCTTACAGGCAGAGGCAGCACCAAGACATGCCTGTGCCCAGGGCTCCAGGGCCACGACCAGCTGCACCCCAGCAGGAGGGGCCACAAGAGCAGCAGCAACCATAGTAACAGCCGCCACATCCAGCCTTGACCAGTGAAAACTAAGGAACTTGTTTGCTGAGAACACTTACATTTGATATAGAACTTGGGATCAGTGGCCACTTCCTGGAAGAGGCACAAGGAAGCATTGAATTCCTAAAGCTGCTTAGAATCCGATGCCTTTATTTTCAGGGATAAGTAACTTAACTAAGTTGAATGTTTGTTTCAGTGCCATATGGAATAACAACTCAGTGGCTTTTCACTTTTATTTTCTCTTTTTCTGAAACATATGAGACACTCAGTAATTTCTGCTGCATTCAGCTGTTTATGTCTAATCCTTTAGGTCATTCTTTCAATGTGCATAAGTTCTTATGTCAAACATCTTTGTCTTGTGCATTGACACTAAAAACTGATCAGTGTAAAAAGGAAAACTCATATATTTAAAAGTCTGAAAGTAAACTTACCTTTTAAGTAAGTTAAAAAAAAAAAAAGAAAAAATGTCTTCGAAGTATTTTGGAACTACAATAACTGAGAAATTTTTACCACACCACATGCAAGTATACATATGCCTCATATTTTTTATTTTAAAAGGGAAGGTTGGGAAGTTTCGTATAGGTGATTGTCATAATTCATACCATGCTGTTGTCCTTCAAAAACTGAAAGGCTTTGTTAAAGAGTTCTATGTGAACATCAACTCTTTGTAATAGAATATATGTAAAACTCTGTGAACTGACTTATTGCACTAACGTGAATTTTCCCCACCTACTCAGTGTAATTTGCTTGCTTGTTTTGAGTGTACAGAGCCTTGACCCAGAAGCCAGAGGTTGGACTAGCTGGGAGAAATTGGAAAGCAACATTAAAGAAATTTGGATCAGTACCAAGATCATAGACATACTTTCCCCAAAGTTGAAGTATTTGTTCCCAGGTTTTATTTTAAAATACTTTACATTTTTTACCGCTCAAAGAAGATATCAATATCTTGAATTCTTCAAATATGAAATAGCATTGTCAGGATATGGCATACAGTAACTGCCCTACACTCAGAGAACTGAAGATGGATTAAGCACAGTGACTGACAAAGCCAAGGCCTGTATGGACTACTGTGTATGTTCAGGTGGCTTTTATTTCTTACAGTTTTATGTTACGGTAAAAAGTTAACCATTTGCTTAGCTGTCATATTTACCACCCTCTTACTGTTAATGTTAGGAAATTCAAGGCTACTACACTTCATGGTTACCTAGTTAAATAGATGGGGAAAAACAAAAATAACAAAAAAGAAAATTGAGAACTTTGTGTAATCTCTCATGAAAGAATTAAACCAAATTTGAATTTTGTTTTATGGATAAATGGTGGAATTTGCCATCCGTTATCTATTCTGAGCCTACATTAGTAAGTGAACAGTCCACTGATGTCAATCTTTATATATTAACCTTTGGACTGTTTTCCTGTAATCCCCCATCTGCCAGAAAACTTGAAGAGTTTGTTTCTTGTTGAGTTATAATGCTTTGGTTTTTGAAGTTGGGATTGTATTTAGAATTAGATTTGATTAGTCTATAATGAACATGAAGGATTTAAATGTGAAGTTGTATACTTTTTTGTGTGCTTAGAATATTAAGGGAAACCTGGTAAGCAAGCTTTCCTCCCAGATATTTGCTTCCAAATTTGAAGAGGTGGTCACAGAGAGGACCATACATATAAAAGCATATCTGTAAGAGGTACAGAATGTTGCTCTCAAAAGTGTAATGTTGCTTTGGGCTGCTCTTATAAATATAGGGACCCACTTAGTCTCTTGCACTTAGAAATTCGAGTGCAGATGGTACACTTTGTCAAGGTCTTCATTGCTCCCTCTGCCCCCACCCTTCAGAATAAGTGTAATCTATGTAGCAGCCACACACACTTCTTTAGGAGGCACTGTTTTAATTTAGAAGCTGAAGAAGCTGGGCATGAAGGTACATGCCTGTAGTCCCAGCTACTCTGAAGGCTGAAGCAACAGCCTGGGCAACATAGTAAGACCCCCACTCAAAAGAAAAGAGTTGTTGAAAAACCCTGTAAGATAACTTACCAACTTCCAGTTTTTTCTTACGCTATCCGTCTAATTTCTTCTTGGATTGCATTTTTTTAAATCTGTCTTTACTTCCCTCCATTAGTACTTGGAGAAAACATTTCTTAAACAGCATGCGCTTGGGCTGGATGGGAAAGTGAAGTCTTATTCTTCATGTAATAATAGACTTCCTGTTAGTTTACTCCTTGCTGTGTCCTTTTTTATTATTAATACTGCAAATATCCTTTCCTTAGTTTGCTTCTTTCTCTTGTTTTACCCTGGGCCACTTGGTTTCAGAAATTTGAATGGTAAAATAACTCAGTTCTTATGGCTTCTTTTAAAGACTGTCTCAAAATACTTTGCTTCCTTTTTCTTTTTGTTCATGGGACATGGTACCTAAGCAAATAGGGGTTGGGTTGGGTTTTCTCCTAAAAATAATGCACAATACTTATGTAATCAAATGGCATCCATTTGAATAAAGTGACAATAACTAAAGCTAGTTAATGTCAGTGACATTAAACTAACTCCAGGATTCAGGAGTTTTAATGTTAGAATTTAGACTTACCAGATAGAGTGTGGCTTCATTTCTCCACGGTAGCCCACCTCTCCTGATACCTTTTGTAGTCTGTCTTTCAGCCTTCGAAGGTGATGACATTAGCGCTCTATTTAGCGTCGCTTCTCTTGTGCATATGCTTTGTTCGTTAGCCAATGGTTTCAAAGTCCATTCTATTTTATTTTGCAAAGGTGGCACTGGTGGTGGGGGGGGGGTCCAAATTTTTCCTTTTTGTGTTTGAAGTTTTTTCTGTTTTCTGGGTGAGGCTTACTTTAGTTTTCATTAATAGTCAATGGCACAGAAAAAGTAAATCAGAATTCATTATTTAGTATTTAAATCAGATTAACTTTATGAATCATTAATCTTGATGTTCTTGAGGATTTGTTACCCTTTTGCATATAAGGTTAATTTCTGGGACTTTTACCACTAAACTGTTTTGTCTCTGTACCATTGGGAAGCTTTAGAAACTTCCACCAGTAATCTGGTGATGATCTGATGGTTGATTTATTTAAGGAGCCTCCAGGAAACCTGATTATTTTATATATAGAATTTCATTCATTTTTGCCTCTTTTCTCTGCTCTTCATGTTTGTTCTTCAAACCATCGTTTTGGAAGTATGCATGCTGGCCTGTAGATGAAAACCACAATTCTTCATGTGTATAGCATGTGTACTAATGTCTAACTACATCTGCAGAAACTTCCTCTACAGAGGTTTGGACTAACATTTCACATACACATTTCAAAGACAAGATGCTTCAGGTAAATCACCCATTTACCTGCCAAGAAGACCAGGGCTATTTTTGCTCCAGTGACAGCTGGTATTTGTTTTGAAAGTGAACTAGTATATATTACACAATATTTGGAACAGAAGTATGCAAAAAATAATCAGAGCAAAAGAAAACTTCTATTTTTATGCAAACTTTTTCATCAGTCATTGCTCAAATATGAGTGAAAATATGCAATTAGTGAATGCCATATTTTCTGAGGCACTACCTGGTTTTTAAATGTGTAGTATTCATTGAAAAGAAGCTAAATTTATCCATCCACTTGGTCTTTTAAGAAAATTTAAAATGACCCCAAATAACAGTATTTGTATCTTAAGATGACTGTTTGCACAAGTAAAAAGTCTGATTTTGTACACAAGAAGGATCCCTTGGTTATGTGCAGTGAGCCATCTCACATGTACTGTTTTTACGAATTTGGATTGACATACAAGATAACACTATTTCTCTTTCATTTAAAAAAAAAAAATGTTGATAGGATCCAAGTAACCACTATAAATATTTAGAAGAGGAAGTTTAAAAAGACCATGCTGGCATTGTGAAGGAATACCATGGTAGACTTTTTTGTGTGTGTGAATTTATTTTGTATTTAATGAAATGCAGTATAAAAACTGGTGACGTGTAATATAATTGTGTAAACAGAAACCCTGTTAATAGAGAGATGTACAGATTCATTTTATACTGTATCTTGAAACTTGTGAAATAAAGATTCCACCTCTGGTTTTCCTGTATCTTGTAGTGTACCGCCACAAAGCACCTTTCCAGCCACTCCTCTTTTAACCTGAATGATCCAACTTTTTAAGGAAAGTTTTTAGAAATTTAGAAACTTCTGTAAAACATTTGGCGGTGGGGGGGGGGTGCATTTTTAATCCGTCTTTCATTTTCAGCTCCTAAGAAGATCTGAGTAAAAAGGAAATGGAAAATAAAGCAATATTAAACTGGGAGTGAGCTTTGTACACAAAATCCAAGTCAGGGACTGGAATGTAACTCAGTAATAGAGTGTTTGCCCAGCATCCTGCATGAGGACCTGGCCTCAAATCCCAGCAGTACAAAAAAAAAAAAAAAAGGAGGAAGGGATTAGGAATGGATTACAATTTTGGCCCTCACCTTCATAGCAGCCAACTCAAGTGGCCAAGGCAAATTGTGGCAAGTTGGATCTCAAATTTTCACTTCAAGGAGCACAGCCAGCCTGCCCCAGATGACCTGGGATAAAATGGAAGTGATGGGGATGCTGGACATGAGAGGTATACCGACAATTTGGCCGTTCAGCCTGCAGTTGGGTGTGATGCCTACTTACCACTTAGCTCTTTTCTGAAGAGTTGTTAAAAATGCAGTGCTCAATCTTCGTTGAAAGAAACTTGATGAGAAACAGTCTCTTTAAATTCCTTTGTACTACTCATGTAGATTGCCTATACCAGCTTTGAGATTAGCTTATACTAAATTACAACATATACTTAAATGATGTAAAAGTAAAATTTTAGAAGGTAATTTCTGTAGTAGAAACTATGAAAAGCAGAAGAAGGAATTTTTTTAGTTTCTGGATATTTTCCATGAATAAGCAAATGAAAATAAAATGAAGTTTACTCTCCAGTTTAAAAGTGTCGCAGTGTCAGGAATCTTTCACACTTATAGTGACTTCTGTCACTGCCTAAAAGCCATCAGATTGAACAAGTTTATAATTGGATACTGAAAATTCTAAGCCTGATTTTCCTTAGAGGCCAAATTCTTCTTTGAATTAACTTCTTTTAAACCTCAGCTAGTGTTAATTCTTAATTGTATACTCAATTGCATTTCTAAAAGCCCTACATGTTTTCTCTCATGTTTCCTACTTTAGCTGACTTTCAGAACATTCATGTAAATATTTGTTGTTGCCCAATCCAATCTCCTTTTATCTTCTTGCTACGGCTAGAACTTTGTTGAAGTTAGCCTCTTTAGATTGGAAATGATTTTTCATGTGCCTTGTAAATCTCTCTAAGTAAGGGTTCTGACTTTGAAAATGAAGATTTCACTGAGTTTTACATGATTCAAGATTTAAATGTGAACAGAAACAACTTTTCTTGGAAACCAGATTTATTTCAGGACGTGAAAAGCACAGCTGTGAGTTTCAGAGTTTGTCCATATGTGTTTCCCCACTCTTCCCCCGAGGCCTTGCCCTTAGTATGCTTTTCTTTTAGGAACTTTTTTTACAATTTATTGTTTATTCTAATTTGTTATATATGACAGCATAATCCATTACAATTCATTAGTATGCTTTTCTAAGGAAATTTTGATTAATTGAACTTTTTTTTTCCCCTAAATGAAATCTTAAATAAATAGGCTAATCCTGATTGTGTGTGTGCATGTACCCATGATGGTGAAGAGTGGAGGGAACTTTCTAGTTTTGTTCCCTTTATGCACTAGTGTAAAATTTACTTGAATTTTTCCAACCTACACATATATGTTCTTTTAACATCTTAAGTCATACATGGAAATTTATTGAAGGACCTAGAGAGGTAAGAACAGTACAGTATTTCCCTGTAGTACTTTGTTTTTCTTCCAGTGCTAGGGATTGAATCCATGGCCTTGCAGATGCTAGGTAGTCACTCCACTGTTGAGCTAAACCCTCAGCTAGCTTAGTAACCCCATTTTGATTGAAGTATGTGCTGTAAGTGGAATTGTCCCACCAGAACCGTTAAGAGCAGCCTTTATTTTTTCAAGAGCAGAGAAAAGGGTCATTAAAGACTTAAGTTTGTATAATTGGTATCTGTATTTGATCGCTCATTTCAGACTTAAAAGAAATTAAAGTCTCATAACAAAATTGATATTTTTTATGTACTCAGGTTAGCTAAAGCACAGAAGAATCAACTAGGTCTCACCAAACACAATATAAGAAGTTCTGAACAGGACATTGTCTTAGAGCAGTGAAATAGAGGAAATGCCTAGAACAGACTTGAAATCCTAACTTTAATGGCAGAAAAAGTAATTGCAACTCCTTTGCCTATTACCATTATTAGGGGTTTTTTAGTGTCACCATGCCAGGACAAGAGTCATGATAAATGGGTCAGATGTGTAAGACACAACCTCCACAGGCTACAGTGGAGTCCTGCATTTCCAGCTGCTGCTCCTCTGATGTTTGATCTTAAGAGATTGGTGATCACTCCTAACCCCATTTTGAACGGCCCACAAAAGTAAAGAAGGGAATCATAAGGGGAAAAAAACGCCCTGGACTGAGTGATGTGGGTAGCTTAGGCAAACTGTTCACTTCACATGGTTCTCAGAGGCAGCATGAGACTGGGCACACAGGGTGGTCATTAAGGCACAGAAGGTCTTACGTGCTAGAAGTAATTGAATTGACTTTTTTCACTAACACCAGACTTACAGGCCTTTATGGTGGAAATAACATATTTGCTGTCCTAAAATCATTAACTCCAGACAATTTACAGGCCAAGTTGCCCTTCATGTGAAAAAGGTTGATCTTTAATTTATTACCTAAGGTTTTTTTCTTGCCCTTTATCAGCCTTTATTATACTCTAGACACTATGTTCGAGGCACTGAAATGTAAAGTGAATTTAAAGATGAGCATGGATGAAAGAATAAATTGAAAGAGGCTCTTATCCTCTGGGTCATCTTCACCACTGACTAAACACAACATCTGATGGGCACTAAGTGCTTTACATGCATTATTGAATTGAAAGCTACTCCTTGATGTCAGCACAGTTCATGTCATTCCCACTTAACAAATGAAGAAGCAAGTTCAGAGAGGCTAAGCAACTTGCACAAGATCACACAGCTAAGTGTTAGTCATAAAACTGAAATTTAAATAAAAGACTACCTTGGCTATAAATCCCACATTCTTAACCTACGATGCTCTTCTATTGTCCTTAATACAGTGTGGTAAGGTTTCTAATGGAGGTGCAAACAATGCCATGGGGAAAGAGCAATAGTGAAACGTAAATGGGGCACATTTTGTGTCAACTTGTCCATGCTGGCAGGCTGGTCTACTTTTACCATGCACTTCTAAAGCAGTGTTTGCAGGTATTCTGCGCAGCTTTGCAATTTTAAAGGTAAAAATCCATCTGAAGCAAGTGAGGTGCACCCTGACTAGCATGGGGTGGGGAGCCATGTGACCTGAACCTAAACCTGTTTTTCCAAAACATCTCCCACACTGAGGTGCCTGGGATGGGATGGGATAGCCAGAACAGCTGCAGACTGGCTGGCTGCTTTTTGTACAGCTGTCTCAAGGCCAGTGAGATTGCCTCCAAACTAGCATCCCAAAAGTCCAGGTGGAGAACCCAGCCTCGGAAATCCCAAATATCATTTCCACTGCATCAGTCTGTCA